TGCAAGCTTAAGTTGAATTTATTGAATAATGGCGGCTTGATCATCTTGGGTATCGACAACCGCATTGTGAGCGTGAGCTATTTCAGAGATCTGTTGTTCTATGGTATCTTCTATGTATTGCATTCTATGGTGTATTTGTTGGAGGGAGAGTCTTACGTCTTTCTGTATGTCCGCTTGTACCATGTGAAGCATATATTTGAGGGTGTTTTCAGACGCAGGGTTGTTTGATGTAGGGAAGGCCGCTAAGGAAGCATAAGATTTTGCTGCCGGGTCAGAGGACTGAGTCTGTCCCATATTGCTTCTTATATGCAGGGGATTTAGCTGGGGAGCAAGCAGGTGAAACTGATGCTCTCTTACTTCTGTCCGAGGTGTGCTGAGCCAGCTTGGGGTCCCCTTGTGCAGTGCCCTCCTCCATGTCACTAAGCGCAGCCGTCTCCTGCTCTGTGTGTGACTGTCAGTGTGTCTGAGGAGCGGAACTCCCTGCCGGCGCCATCTTGGATGGATCTGTGAGGTGGCTTCATGAAGAAGTTCTGAAGTTTTTGGGGTCTGTAAAGTGGCGTTTTTTTCCTGGACATGTCCAGGAGGGTCTCCAAAGCCAGTACCTCCATTTTGGAGTTGATCGATGCGGTCACTGGAGCTCTGAGGTTGCTTTTGTGCCACAGCTGGTCAGAGCAGAGAAGCTAGGCGACCAACTTGGGCTGCAGCCAGACCACACCCCCCCCCAAAAAAAACATTTTAAAAGTTTACAAGCTTCCCCTTGTTTCTTGATAGGAAAGTATAGTGTGTTTTTATTGAACACATATTTTTAATTTTTACAGTATCTAAATGTATTTTATATGAATATTAATTCTTGCTTTCTCTTCACCTCCTCCCACTACTCCTTTTTTGCCCTTTCATTAAAATGAAGAGGGCTTCGCTCATTCATTGTATTTTTTATATAAAACAAGGCGGGCAGTTAATATGTACAGAATTTATAAAAGGTTACAAAAAACAAGCAAAATAATTGTTTAAAAAAATATGGAAATATAGTGCTATTTTGCGCCAAGGGTTAGAAGAGAAAAATGTAGAATATACCCCAGTAGGGATGAGCTGGTTTGATCCAAACCTGATTTGAGAGAGCCTGTGAGAAGCTGTCACGTGATTGTTTCATTGCCTGCCCAATCAACTGTGGTGGGGGCATTTGTCGCCCCCGAAGTTTCACATACACAAAGGGGTGGGGATGCTCGTGACCTTATTGATTTAATATGGCCATCTGGCCATATTAGGTCAATGCCATCCAAGCACCTTTTGTGTACATGAGGCTGCAGAGCAGTGAGTGCTCCAGCAGCCGCTGACTGCTAAGCTAATTTTCACATTTAAAACTGTCAAAAATCTTTAAACTGGCCACTCTCAATGCATGTTCACACAGTACAACTCAGCCCGAGGTATGAGAGGGGGTGGGTGGCAACATGTTTCAAATGTTTCAAGGGCTCTGAATCCTTTGTCAAGCCCTCCAACAGCGCGTAGGCAGAATCTATGTTTCTAATCTGTCTACAGTTCACATTTCAGAAGAAGAAAATTGGCAGGTGGGCATCCTCAGCTGAGGCAACCGCCTCCAGGGGAGATGTCTCTTCACCCAGAGGTGTGCAGACTGCTTTATCTGCTATTATCCAGGTTCAATGTGCAGCTAGATTGTTTCCTTTCCAGGAGAAAGGATCCTCAGCTGTTTGCAGTGGATGCCCTGGTGACATCATGGAATCAATTTTCTTTGATTTATACCTTCCCTCCAATAAAGCTTCTTTTGGTCTGTTATGCAGATTTCAGGTGGAAGAAACACCAATTATTCTAGATGCTCCAGCTTGGCCCAGGAGAACATGGTATACCAACATAGTGAACATGTTGGTGGATGATCCTTTGCCTCTTCCGGCTCGGCTAGACCTTCTGGCACAAGGACTGATCTTCTTCTTTCTTTACAGTTGCTAGCTTTACTGGTTTGGCTGTTGAAGCCAGAATTTTTTAAGGATAGAATGGTATCATATTCTGTCTTTTCCATGCTTTTAAGAATCGGGAGAACATCTTCTAGTAAGACCTACCATAGGAACTGGAAATCCTTTGTGGCCAGTGTGAAGCTAGGAATATCCAACCTTGCAAATATGTTGTGGGCTGGATCTTGGCTTTCCTCTAGTCGGGGGGTTGATATAAATGTAGCACCCACCTAGATAGCTAGGGGGAGCTAGAGCCTAATTGTTAGTGAGGAGGGCAGAATAACAGTCTGGGTGTGATAGCTAGCAGGGTCAAATTTAGGTCAGAGCTGAGAGGCTCTGCAGACTGGCTCTCTGAGACGTCCCCCTGCACTAGAACTTTGGAGAAAGTTCTAGAAGCAGTGGGTTAAGGTAAGGAGTGGCTAGTCTGCACTCTCAAGGGAACATGGCCAATCACCAACAAGAGGCTTTGCAAGGGGCCAGGACAACCCTTAAGAGTGATCAAGCCTGCCCAGCAGAGGGCTGTCTCTGATGATCTCGAAAGTATAAAGACCATACCTTTTTGGGTATGCCACTTCTACCTCCTCTCCATCAGCTTAGACACCCATAGTAAGTATCGCACACATTGACAGGGATACATGCATACATACAGTATGTATATATATATTTGAGGATGTGTATTTGTTTACACAATGCGTATATATATGTATGTACATATATCAAAATTAGGCCTCATTGTGTTCTTGTATTCTTTTAGTAGTATTTATCTATGACATATGGTTATGCATTTTTTATGAACTATTACTTATTATCTTATAATGTTAATTTTAGTCTTGTTTTTATTTTCTATTAATTATTATCTTTTTTGATTATGGTACCATCATCCTACATATATGCCTAGTTGTTATGATTTATATAATGCCTCCCCCTGTTTTGTTTTAGCTGTATTATCCATATATATATTTTTAGTGCTTTTTAATATAATTCCGATTCAGGGATGGATGGACCTTTTTGTCCCATGGCTGAGACCTCTTTTTCACTGCCCTCTATATAAATAACAGCTCCAGGAATGCTCTGTTAGACCTGTAGAAGGAGCTAAAGGCTCCGAGCGCGTAGCCTGTGATTACTGCTATACCATTCCGGTCCTATGTGTTCCTTTGGAGACGTCACATCCGCCTGAAGGTTTCACACTGGTCAGCAGGGTGGCTTCCTGATCCACTTCAGATTGCCTTCCTGGACTTCACTTCCAGCACTACCATCGGACTTTTTCCACTGGCGGTTCCCTGCAGGATGGAGAAGAGAGACCTGTCTCTGTCCACAGTATATTTTGCCAGTAGTGCTGTGGAACATCCAAGTGCTCTTTTGCAAACTTCAAACGTGCTGCAATATTCTTTTTGGACAGCAATGGCTTCCTCTGTGGTGTCCTCCCATGTACTCTATTCTTGTTTAATGTTTTCCTTATTGTAGATGTGTCAACAAAAATGTTAGCATGTGCCAGAGATTTCTGTAGGTCTTTAGCTGACACTCTGGGATTCTTCTTTACCTCATGCAGCATTCTGCGCTGTGCTCTTGCAGTCATTTTTACAGGACAACCACGCCTAGGGAGAGTAGCAACAGTGCTAAACTTTTTCTTCATTTGTAGACAGTCTGTCTTACCGTGGACACATGAACATCAAGGCTTTTGGAGATACTTTTGTAACCCTTTCCAGCTTCATGCAAGTCAACAATTCTTGATCGTAGGTCTTCTGAGAGCTCTTTTCTGCGAGGCATGGTTCACATCAGACAGTGCTTCTTGAAACCAGTAAACCCAAAACAGGTGTGTGTTTTTTTAAGGGCAGGACAGCTGTCAGCAACACATCCAATATCATCACACTGATTGGAGTCAAGGTTGGCTCACTCCTGACTCCAATTAGCTCTGGGAGAAGTCATTAAGCTAGGGCCTCACATACTTTTTCCTCCCTGCACTGTGAATGTTTACATGTTATGTGCAATTAAACTATGGCAACATCTAATGTTTGTGTAGTGTTATGTTCAGCAGACTGTGTTCTTCTATTGTTGTGACTTAGATGAAGTTCAGAGCACATTTTATACCCAATTCATGCAAAACTCCACGTAATCCCAAGGGGTTCACATACTTTTTCTTGCAACTGTAGACTCCAGAGAGAGAGATATCATATTACCCCGGTACAAATCATTAGTAAGACCTCATCTGGAATATGCAGTTCAGTTTTGGGCACCAATTCACAAAAAGAACATTGGGGAACTGGAGAAAGTGGGAAGAAGGGCAACCAAACTGATAAGAGGCATGGAGGAGCTCAGCTATGAGGAAAGATTAGAGGAACTGGATTTATTCTCTCTTGAGAAGAGGAGATTAAGGAGGGATATGATCAACATGTATAAATACATCAGTGGTTCATAAAGTGAACTCAGTGTAGTTATTCACCCTGAGGTCATCACAGAGGACAAGAGGGCACTCTATACGTCTGGAGGAAAATAATTTTAATCTCCAAACACGGAAAGGTTTCTTCACAGTGAGAGCTGTGAAAATGTGGAATAGACTCCCAAGAGTTGATTCTGGCCAGCTCAGTGGATTGCTTCAAAAAAGGCCTGGATTCTTTCTTAGATGCACAGAATATAATTGGATACTAACATTTATAGGTAAAGTTGATCCAGGGAATATCCGATTGCCTCTCGGGGGATCAGGAAGGAATTTTTTTCCCAGCAGATGCAAATTGGATCGTGCTTTTGCTGGGTTTTTTTGCCTTCCTCTGGATCAACTGTGGGTGTAGGATTATTTTTTTTTTTTTTTTCTATGGTTGAACTGGATGGACTTTTGTCTTTTTTTCAGCCAGACTAACTATGTAACTATGTCATACATGTGGTCACATCTGTCTTCGTGTAATCCCAATTTGGTGTTGTCTGTTTTTACAGAGAATATGATATATGTAAATGGAAGGGTAGATGAAAGGGGCAGTTACATAGGACATCGCTTTCAAGTTGATTTTAACCCCTTCATGCCTAAGGGTAAAACAAATCTAAATGCCTAAGCACAATTTTGAAACATTGACATGTGTTAGTAAAACCGTACATATCATCACAACTACTTTGTACATCCAGGTGAATTATACCTTGTTTTTTTTCAGGATAAATTGGGCTTTCATTTGGTGGTAAATGGTAATGGATATCTCCTGATTTTTTTTTTTTTATTCTCAAAGAAAAACTGGCCCAAAATAGTAAAAAAAAAAAAGAATTTTTTTTAATTTAGCTGTGTGTTTCTTTTTACCACCATAACCTACCACCAAAGATCAACCCAAAATAAATTTTCCAGCTCTTGACGATTGCAGCGATACCATATGTGTGTGTTATTTGTTGTTTGTACCCCTGGTACAGCCCAGAAACAATAGTTTTTTTTTTTTTTTTTTTACCTAAAACACACTGACACTGATACCAATTTTTTTGTAAATCCTGCCCTTTGACGCTGACCTTTTGACCTTTGACCCTGACCTTGACCCACTTACACTGGCACTGAACTAGATCAAACCTTGATCTAGGTATTTTGTTTTTATTTTTTAATATATTTTTTTTTATTTTATTTTTTTTTTCCAAACATTTTTTTCCCCTCTATGCCAGGAGTTAGAGAGATACAATGTATATCTCTCTCCTCCATTCATAGAGAGAAAAAAAAAAAAAAGGGGGCCAGGCTGTACAGTCACTGTGATAGCCAATCAGAGGCTATCACGGCGATCATGTGACCCAGAATCAGGAGTCCCGGGTCCCGATCATTAGAACTGTGTGGCGCATTCCCATCAGAATGACAGGTACGCAAATATGCGGTCCCATGGAAAAAAGCCCAGTTCTGTGAAGCCGCATATTTGTGTTACGTCGGCGTCAAGGGGTTAAATTACCTTCATATATTGTGAGAGACTGATTGAACATATTTTGAGGTGAGAAGAGTTGTCAGAGATCAGTTATAGATTGTGCTAATCTGCAAGGTATAGTTTCTCATAATTGCTATAGATTAAAAACACTCAGAGGGGTTCTGCATTTTTGTTATATGCCCCCATACACTATGAAAGATTGGTTATAGGTTGAGCTAATTTGCAGGGATTAGTTTCTCACCTTGTTACTTGCTCCACATGTTTGTTACTCATTAAATACACCTGGAGGGGGTTAGCTATTTCTGATATACGTATACCCTGATTCAGGGGTGGACTGACAACTCATGGGGCCCCCGGGCAATAGGGGATCATGGGACCCCTGTGTCCTTGCCCACACTCAAATCACACCCAAAAAAGCCTATAAAAAAGGTTCCAGGGGCATTTCATGGGGCCCCCTACTGACCCCAGGCCCTCGGGCAGTGCCCGAGTGCTCGAATGGTCAGTCCACCCCTGCCCTGATTATATCAACTGAGGGAGTAGGAGGAATACAGTGTGTGTATTAAATGGCACAGAGTAAAATTGTGACACATTGTGGTTAAGTAAGGGTTAGGAAGTGTGTATAATAGATGCGGGAGATTCCGGTGACGTCATCCTGCTAATGGATACTGTGGTGAGAGAAATCTCAGTAAGAATAGCGCCACTCACTGGGGATTGTGTCTGACCAGCAGAGGAGTTGCTATATGTGATTAAGCGCTCTTTTCCTGGTGCAAGGCTGTGCACTTGTGAATGTGAGTGGGCATTTTTATGTTTTAAGTGGTATTTTAAAATAAATCGAGGATTTTACACCATGCGAGATTCTTTTTTCTTTGGCAGTATCTGAACCTGAAGGAAGACTGTTCGAGGAGGAGTGTGAGCTGCTGGTCAAGGACCCCCTTTCCTTAAATGAGAAAAGCTCTATATGACCCATATGGGGAATAGGGTCATGGTGATCCAATGAGTATTCTGTATCAAAGAAGAAGGCACTTAGGTGTTTTCTGTTCACTTGGAAGAATATAATGAAGGTGTTTTGAAGCACGAAACATTACATGATGCAATGGATATTTTGGGGTTTATTTACTAAAACTGGAGAGTGCAAAATTTGGAGCAGCTGTGGATGGTAGCCAATCAATTATGCTTTGACAAAAAAAAAAAACTGGAAGCTGAGAAATCTGAAGTTAGAAGCTGATAGGCTACCATGCACAGCTGCAGCAGATTTTACAAGTTCCAATTCTAGTAAATCAACCCCTTTGTGTTGGTTGTTTATAGCACATATTGAACTGTGGTTCTACTGTATATACAGAAATGCCTGTGTAAGGTTTGTTATATATAGATAATTTTTTATACTGATCATCTAGCACAGCTATAAATGTATAACTGATATTACAGAGTATACCTTTTGAGACAATTTGGGACCTTTCACTAATCCTGTTAACATGGAAGGTGGTGTTTTTGGTTGCTATTACTGTTGACATTGAGCTGTTGTAGTACTCCCATGACAAAGTGGTTCTTCGAACTCAGCCGTTGTTTTTGCTGAAAATGGTTTTATCTTTCAATCTGAACCAGGGCATTTTTATGTCTTTTTTTTCCCCAGGCCTCGGTCGATGGAAGACCAGGCCCTCCATACCTTAGATGTGGCTCGGTCTGTTAAGATGTATTTGAAATGGACAGCTGTGGTCCGGCAGTCAAATTTGCTTAGAAGAATAAAGCAACCGAATGCATGTACTCCTGCGCTGGACCGTCAACTCCACAATGTCAATATCCCCACATGGGTAAGAAAGGAATGCAAGCCTTGCTGCCCTCAACAGACCAGGGAAATCCAAGGAGAACTGTATATAAGAAACACAGAGAGGGCAACCGGGCCTAGTGCATTACTTTTAAAAATTAGATTTATTATAAATAGTAAAATACTCACAAGAGAAATAAAATCAAATGCAAAGGATGTCACAAAGGATGCAATGTGGTCCAAAACCCCTGAAGGTGGTCTGGTGGGGGACTGTAGACCTCTGGATAGCTGGTGGCTGACGTGTTTTGAGGTTGGACTTTGAGGTCAGAGCCAGTCGGTACAACCTCAAAACGCATCAGCCACCAGCTTTCCAGAGGTCTACAGTCCCCCACCAGACCACCTTCAGGGGTTTTGGACCACATTGCATCTTTTTTGACATGCTTTTCATTTGATTTTATTTCACTTGTGAGTATTTTACTATTTATAATAAGTCTCATTTTTAAAGGTAATGCACTAGGCCCGTGCGCCCTCTCTTTGTTTCTTATATACAGTCAAATTTGCTTCCTGAAGGACCAAGGAAGAGTCAGGCAGCTACCAGGTTGAACATTTCCCGTTGGATTTTTTAGCTTATTTCTCAAGCATATGGGCCGAAAGGTATACTTATTCTGTTACATCATACAATAGAAACTTTACTGATTCTGTTCTATATAGTCTGTACTGTACAGCCAGCCAGCAGTGTATAAGAATGAAGTGGACGGAATGCAGACACAAAGTTTTTAAGGTAATTTTCCATTCTCCTGGCACCAACATGGCAGCATACTAGTGATAAATAACTAGCTTCCAGGGAGGGTAGACGCCAAACAGAATTTTTTTTTGTAAGGAAGAAACAGAAGCTTCAATGGCTTCCCTCCTGAAGTTTACAGTTGACACGACCCCTGGGCTACTTTGTAGTGTTTCTGGAAGGTATGGTGCAAAGACCAGGATGCGGCCTTACACATGATTTTGAAGGAGATGTTATAACAAGCCACCCAAGATGCCACAACCAACCTTAATGAGTGAGCCGTCACTACCACCAGTGGGTCAACTCCTAAAGCCCTATATGTCATCTGGTTGAGCTTCTTGATCCATCCGGTTAAGGATCTTGAGGAAGCCTCTTTCCCTCTATTTTTGTCATATTGTCGGATGAAAAGGTATTTCAATCTGTGGAATGAAACTACAGCCAAGAAATATTTCTTTAATGCCCTAGAAATGTCAGGTATATAAGTAATATCCCCCAGCGAACACTGTTCTGTGGGAGCAAAAAGACAATTTGAGAGGAAATCTATCCGCATCTCCAGAGCCTGCTGAGGAAAGGATCTCTTTCTGGGAAGACAGATCTTGAGCACAGCTCTGAGGAAATGGATTACTAGAAAATATTCACCCACTTGACCTTAGTTACTGCTGAATTGATTACCACCTGCACTTTTAGGTAGCTCAGGCTCAGACCCAAGTCTAGTCTGATTTGTAGGAAATCCAACTTCTTCAAAACTGAAGAGGAGGTAGCAGTAAAGTCTTTTCCTAAACGCTGATGTCCTCACAGTGGGCCCCTTAGACATTCTTTCTGACATCTGTCATGATCTTGGTACAAGTCAATGGACCTAAGGGTCACAAGGGCATCAATTACACTTTCCTCAGCCACCACCACCACCACCACCACAGATTCTTCCTTATTTATGGGGACACAGTAATCACTTGCTCCAAATAGTGTCTCCTCCATTATGTATGGAAACCTGCTTGGAATTGTTGCAGGTGCCAGTTGGCCCAAGGAATCAAAAGGCTCAAACCTTGAGAAGCTGATTAAGAGGGGAGGCCGCTGCTCTGCGTATCTTCTCTCTGATGGATTTTATTTTCTGAGGAGGCAGAGCAATAGAAGCATTGGCTGTGTTGAAGAGGTCACCTAGGTATACTAACTGCTGAGTTGGTCAGAGCTGGCTTTTATCAAAATCTGAGCCAGAAGGAACACATTGTGCAGGTAGTGGTGGACCTGGTGGCCTCTTTCTTTTAAATGTGCTAGGGCTGCTCTCAAGACCTTGGTGAAACTGCTCCAGGAGGTGCAGAGGCTGATAAGGAGTGGGGGGGGGTGGACCTAGCCAACTGCAAACCGGAGATATCTTGGCAGGATCAGAGTGTGCAGGTAAGTTTCCTGCAAATCTAATGAAAGCATCCAGACTTCTTGCTGTACTTTCTGGGTTATAGTCTGCAGGAACTACCTTTTGAATTTCTCTGAGAAGATGTATCTTTACATGGAACTGGAACCACTGCCTTTTGATCTAACAATGTACCGATGTACTGTCTTAGAATTTCCGCCTTTTGAGGTGACTTTGGGATTTTGGTGGACGTGAAACAATTGGTCAGCTGTGACTGCATGAACATCCAGAAATGGCCATGTGTGGTAGTCCACAACATCCATCTGATCTTGCAGTGCCTTACCCACACCCCTTAAAAGTAGGCCAACCTAGCCCCCATTGCAAGAGCCTGGATTGGATGCTCTGATTGTCAAAACAATTTTGCCAGATCCTGGAGCACAGTCTAAGTCTTCTTCCTTTGGGATCTCAGGAACGAAACCTGAGATCACAAAAGAATCCTTTTCTCTTCTCTCAGCCCAGGTGTCCTTAGAATCTCTTGCCCTTGAAGCCTGGAACTTATTTTTGAACATCTCAACTTCCTATCTTGGAGAAAGAGCCCTAACTTCCTTATAGGTGCTCCGGAGATCACCGTTTCCAGCCTATCCCCAAAGAGAGACTTGCAATCAAAGGGGATTTTGCACCAGCTTTATTTTGATGAAACATCTGCCACCCATGGTTTTAGCCAAATGGCTCTTTTTGCCATTATGGAATGGAACATTTCTCTTTCTGAGCACCTAATGGTGTCTATGGCTACCTTCCCTATAAAGTCAGCTGACAACTTTTAGCTCCTCTAAGCCCTGAATAATGTCCTCTCATGGAACTCCCTCTTTTATGGCCATTTTGATGTTTTGTGTCTGTAGCGGAACCGTTCCGCCTGGGCATCCTTGTGCGGAGCAGTGCGTCTCAGCCAATGGTCCCCTTTTTTGGCAAGTGTTCCAGTACCCTGCCAAGGCAGGTATTATATCTCAAAACACTCCCTTCCCTGCTCTCCCAAACCTCGAGTCGGAACTTTGTGTAGGGTGAAAATAAATGACTCTTTAATAAACACAGCTCAGTATATACAACTTCACCCCCCACCAGATAGCCTGGCACCAGGTTTTCCCCACCCACAACAAACCCTACAACCAATAATACAG